TTTAAATAGACCATTTTTATATCCTCTTCTTCCAAATGCTGTATAAAAAGACTCAATCTAATTTTGTGCAGAATCTGACTTTCTGTCTTAGGCATCTTAGTTTCAGCACTGAAGTCCCTACAGCATGCTGGCTGAGGTATGATAGGCAGAGGAACATGAGTCACCCTGTGGTTTGTTTGTGAGCAGTGGCCTTTATAGGTCCATTAGATGTTCATCCATGAATAAATAAGCTTCACTACATAGGTTTTCTATAGCTGAGTGAAATAATGTTATCCAAGATTGGATTCATAATACAGATATGGCGTGTTGTGTTATTTAAATTTCACTTAACATCCATTGTAGTGGCGGCACAGTGGGGACAATTATGGAAATTTAATTAATAGGATGTTAGTGGAACTGCTTTGGTTGTAATATGGGTTTTACAAAAGTATGACAAAGAAAGACCTCATTACTTCCCCTGTTCTTAATGGCACAGCAGCATCTGCTGTGGTTGAGGCTGGTTAACCAAAAGACAGAGATGGTAGAAAAGCAGGGAGATTGGTTAATACAGCCATAAAATGCACAGACACAAATATACACCCACAACACATACACACACACACACAAACCTAACCTGGTCGTCCCTGGGGGGTGCACATTTATGACAAGAATGCAGCTGACAGGGTCACAATAGCCAGAGTGCAAACATTTTGTTCACAGTCTTTTATGTCGTTACATAAAAGACGGTGTATGCTCTGTTTCTTTAAGCGCTGTAGTGCCCTCCTGGCACCACTCGCCGCGGATTAGTCATCGTGAGGTGGCAGAGAAGTGTCCACAGTCTGAGGTGGACTTTTCACAGGCCACTGACTGGGTCTCTGGGGTTTCGGTATATCATGTCACTGTGTTTAGAAACGGCCCTCTGGTCACAGATATACCTCACTGCTGAGATATTCAGGGTTGTATATGTATCCGTGCAAAAACTATAATCAGAACTATAAATGATGTGAGTTCACATTTTGTTATTTACAGGAACAGCTCTCACTTAATTGTTGTGTTGTTTCCATCCAGGCAAACCAGCTCATGCCTATTAATATCAACAAGGCTCAACGAGTTTTCATTATGCACGGTGAGGATGAATGCACATTGATCTATACGAGCTAGCAGGAAGTCTTGACTGTTTGCGTATTTCTTTTACGCTACAACCTCGAACAGCAGGGCTCTGAGCAGCCATCTGGTATAATGGAGGGCAGGACAAGGAGGGCCAGTGTTCGCACTATATCACCAAAATCTACCGGACATTAACCCTCTCTGAGCCTTACTTTACACTGTATGAAAATGACCAATTAACACATCATTTGTTAAGGTGGCTGGTGGAAGCACTGCAAAATTAAAACAACAGTTGTGACATTTCATTTCACAATTTGTTTATTATGCTCCCAGGAAATGAAACTTTCAGATTTGTTTCTGCCTTTTGCAAATGAAATACACAATCAGGAACCTATATTGTACTATAATATCAATTGCTCCGAAGACACTGCACAATAATTGCATCACATATTCTTCAGAGAATAGAGTGATCAGTGATGTGGTAATCCTGCATGATAAGTTGTCTGATCTATTTCCAGCAGGCCCCTCTCCTCACACACCCACACACACATGCTATATTGACAACCACAGGGCATAAGGCACTAATGGAGGAATTTAGTATGAGTGGTTTGCAGTGCTGTATTTATTCTCCATTTGAACAAGCCCTTATAATAATCATCATCATTACAGAACTCAACCTCTACAAAGCAGTCTTTTCATTTTAAATGAATAATGAATAGGACAATATAAAGAGTGGCCGTAAACGTGATGGACAAATTACATATTTCTCCATACATATGAAGTTTCTGCCACATGTTTGAATGCTGAAATATTTGCAGGATTTTGTAGTTCTAATTGCCTCAAATGTTAACAGACTGTGTCAGCTGAAGTGTCAGCTCTCTGAGCTCATAAAAGCTATTTCTGTCGTAAATTCACTCTCGCTGCGTAGAGTTATCAAACAGTTTTACTGTCTATTCCTGTGGGTGAAGGCCAGACCTCTTCATACTCCTCCTCAGTCTCAAATTCAGTGGCTATTGAACCACACCTAAATGCTGTCTGTTGTCTATAGAGAAACTCTTTATGGTTTCTCACGTTGAAACATCACGGCCATCATGAGTCATCACCTTAATTTTATGTTTATTACGTGGTCTCAAGGCCAAATCTCTGCCATTGATTTTGCCACTGCACATTCATCACAGATGTCGATACGCCGCTTCACCTCTCATGGTCGTGACTTTTGTGTATGTTCCTTTATCTATGGAAGAGTGCTAATGATCCTCTTGTCACTAGAACAGCAGGGATGGGAGATTAAAGGGAAACAGGCAAAGGGCAGTGGAGGAATACTTAATGAGATATCTGTCCGGCAACATTATAGTGTGTATAGTCAGTTTTAGTGAACAAAGAACCACCTTTTTAGTGCTGTTGTATCAGGACAGGTGAGCCAGTGTGGTTACAACTGCCCTGCAGCCTTGTCTTTGTTCTTATTCATGGACAGAAAAGCAGCAGGTAGTCAGTCAGTCAGGGAACTGGCTGAAGCATCCCTCCCTCCTCTTTTTGCCCATCTCTTTCCTATGGCAGCACTCTCACACCCAGAGGGGAGTAGGCAAAGGTGTCAGTACATTGACAGAGTTGGGACTGCACCAATAATCAGGCAAAGGGGGGGAGCAGAGAGAGGAAGGTGAATTGTGAGTGCTGATGAGGCTCAGCTGCACAGAAACACCCCCTGAGACACAGATCAGATTTAGGCCGCCGGTGTTCGTCAGCATGTTTAATTTGTGACCTGGCAACCTGGCTCTCCCGAGACTGGAGATAAGGGCCGGTGCTCCACTGATGGTGAATGGGATTCTCACAATATTATCGGATATGTAAACATATCCACTATTCACAAGTTTCCTCAAAGCTGAAGAATAACATTGAATCCCTTTGAGCAATGTCATATTATCTCCCACCTGTTCCAATGTCAGTTTTCACATCCAGAATAAATATTTGATGGTGCACTCTTGGATTATATTAATGGATATGACTGAAGTCAGTCTTAGGGTGCTGTCTGTCTCTTCTCTATTTACCAGGTCTTTAGCTGTCCAACTTCACAGAACTAAGCCCTTATAGATGGTCTTAATATACCCAGTAAATCACAGCCCAGTCTGGTGGCTCATTACCCCTCCATTCTGTGCTCCAATTTAACAACATGTGAAATATTGAGGCTGAATCCACAGGCCTCACTGCAGCTTCTCCCTCTACATATATACTCTGCTGTGTGAGACAAATAAAAATAATATCACTCAGCTCAAGGTCAAGATGTTTCAGGTCAGAGCTGTAGTGATGGAGAGCTGTGTTGCACTGTGAGTGAAATTTCTCCTGTGGCACCATTTATTAGACATGAAATATGTTTTTTCCCCCCCCTATCCACAGGCCCTCATCCAGTGCCACCTCTCTGACAGTTCTGATCTGCGGTTATTCATGAAGCTTTAAGGTGAGTAATACTGCAGCAGGATTCTAGCTACGATCAGGAGATAGGGCACAATGTGTCTCATGTTGCATAATTTAGAGGTGTGATAAACTACGTGTTTTTACGAGTTGAGTCACACATCAGCACGATGAACCACAGGCAGGAAAACCGACCCAGTGATAAGTTGTGCTTTGGACTTTATTTCAGTGGCTCATTCACAGCCATACTGCAGAACACCAGTAGGTGCTGGAGAAGGGAGGAGGGGAGGGGTGACTAGAAAAGAAAAGAAAAATGCTCACAGGGTGAGTAACCATCATATGATCGGTGGTTGCCATGGCAACTGATCCCAGCAGTCAGCCCTTGGAAAGTGAGTCACATGAGTGAATTGAAGGAGACAGGAAGCATACTGTGCATATATGTTGTCAGTTGATGCAGAATTACTTGTGTGGGTTTGTGAGTTGGGAGGGAGGGATTGTGTGTTTTGGGGGTGTCTTGTGATGGAAACTGAGGATTGCCCCGGGGTTAGTACCTACAGCAGGGTTGGACATGATGTACAGTAGAAACAGGAGCAATCACCGAACAAAATCTGACACTAACACTTTGTGAAACTCACAAATTGTTCTACGCTCTGATGACAGTCCCCATGTTATCAGTAGAAAAGCAAACTGTCACTCTGGATATCTTTCAGTGTCTGACACACTAGTAACACGTTCCAGCTCAAAATACTCTAATCCCTCAAACAGGATCTGTGTCGTTGTTTGCCATGAGTTTCTCTCTGAAACACCTGACACTCTGAATTGAACGATGGTCTGAGTTGTCAAATCTCACCTTTGAGTTGTCTGAATAATTATCAATTGGGAAAACAATTACATAGCAAAATAGCAAAAACAAGCTCATGCAAACTTCTCTGTTGTCTATTTTGTGAAAATAAAAAGCCACCCAGAGAGCCAGGAGAAGAATTATGGAGTGTGGAGCCATGGCAGACAGAGCCAAGGGCAGAATAAATTGCTGGTGTCAGAGAGAAAAATGACTGTGCCACAAATTATCTGCACTTGAGAAACGTCCATTAGAAAGCACTGTCTTTTCACGCCTGTTACATTACTGTGGGCACAACAGCGCAGTCTGACATGTCTATTAGGTATTAACATCTGGCACCTCCTCTGTAATGGAGGTAAACTGTGTCAAGGTAGCTCCCATCAGCGTAAAAGCAATGTGGGGAAACTGAGATGTTCATTTCTTGTTCTAATTCTGCATATATTAGTAGTAGTAATAATAATAATAGTCGTCATTCAGTTTTCATTAAGGTTGCTGGGGACGCATTTTGTCCAACCCAAACACCTTTTGCACAATCAGTATACAATTCATTAGTTTGATGCATTCTGATTGCAGGCTACCTGTGTGACGCCCTTATTACCGTCCTGTGAACACTGCAGATGTAGTTTTTTTTTTTTTTTTAGGATCAACTGCTGACGTGCGCACGAGCGGGTGAGTCAAACCTGCGTCAGACTTCGTCGTGAGTGACTTTCCATAGTAATTTCTTCACCCTATGGGGAGCTGATTTATCCCACAACACAGCCATAACCACGTGGAAACCAGAGACCAGAGGTGCGAGCAGCTGCTCTTTTAGCAGAGCTGCAGAACATCGCTGAAGCGCCGGAGTGAGATACACAGTTGCAATAAGCCATTACCTGTTCAAGTTAATGTGATTATAGTAAAGCAAACTTGTGGCAAGCGTTGAGCTCCTGCGTCAGACTTTACGCACTATGCGCCCTGTGTGACTGGAAGCTGTGTGATATCGCATCTCTTTGCGCGCAGAGATGTTGCACACGGATCCAGTGCCTGAATGAAGATACCGAACATCACGTTGGATTCATACACAGACTCGGACGTTGTAACCCGTTCCGCACAACACACAAGGTAAGAGTGACGGTCTTGTAAGCATTTTCGCAATTTCCCCGTTTTAGATGTGTGTTTGTTTCTCTGTAACGATTAAATGGTTGGTCGTGAATCGCTCCAGCAACCAGCGATAACCCCCGCATCCTCCCTCCCAAAAATAAAATACAATCTGGAATTGACTTGACAGAGACGAGCGTCAGCTTTCATCTCATCACCTGACAGATGCTGATTTCGCCGCAACATTGACGGTGAGCGTCGCTCATTAATCCTCCGTGTATGACGATGCCGCGCCATGTGTGTCCACATTCGGCTCGAATATGTCAAATTCTGTGGGACTGATGATCACCCGCTGACGTTGTTTGCGTCTCCGCATTGCTGTTATTAAGTGATTCATTTGACCTTGACAAGACATCAGAGGTTATACCCACGCAGAGAGTCACTCCTCAAGCTGTGGTAAATATATGGGCCTGAGGATGCCTTAACGTGGCCATGCAGGTGCTGCTTTGTACCTGTCAGAATCAGTTTGTTTTTCAGGATCAAATCCCACTGGTGGGGGGGCAGTGGAATTCATCAATACTGGGTGGCATCTGTCCATACCATATATTTTACAGTGACACCATTTTCTAGAATTGAATCTGTCTGTGATGGCTGCAATAGATCCCACGACAGACCATCACGGGCAGCTTTTGCTACAATCTATCACCCCCTCTCAGTCCTGTCACAGCAGCTCCGTGTTATTTGCAGCTGACCCTCAGGGGATATCAAGTCCGTCCATTTGAGATGGTGAGAGGAGAGATAGGCGACCACTGATGCTGCGGCAGGGGTGGGATTTCAATTTTGCAGGAAGAGCCATCGCTTAGCAACCAGACTAGATAAAAGTGAGAGCATATCTTTGTAGGAGAAACAGACAACCTGTGCTGTTACATCATTAACACCAAACTGTCTATGGAGAATTAGGATTATATGGTTCCAGGAAACACACATCTGGGGGTCTCTTAGCACCACTCCCATTTCTGTGAAAAGTAAATACATACAGCCCTCTCTGCAGCACCTTTTTCCATTCCACCGTTGCATTTTATTCTCTTCAGTACACTTTTATCCTGAAAAAAACCAAACTTGCCACTCACTATGTTTCCCTCACATGGAGATTGATTTCTGAGTCATAATCTGTAAGATTGTCTTGCACTGTGTGTGAAGCCCTGCTGTCTGTTATGTGCCATCTGTGTCAGCACATACTGTGAAACTCTGAAAGTTTGCATCAACATTGAAAACTTTCACTGCACATGATTAGAAAGCCAAAGTGAGAATCTTATTGGCCATTCATAAGAAAAGTAGAGTAAAACATTGTGTGAACGGTCTTTGAGAGCTCAAAATAACCCCCAAAACTCTGCAGCTTGGCCAGAAAAACATTTTTGTTTGCAAACATGCATTTCATTGCTTCACACCTCATTTGGAGAGTGTTCGATGATGACTCATTATTGTGTAGTTGTAGACTGCTGTTGGAAAGGTCACTGCAGTTCTGGGATCTGTGCGGAGCTCGGAGGCTAGGAGCTGCTGCGTGTCGTGACTGCAGGGGCTTATTGCCACTGTTGAGGAATGTGATGTGCGTGCTGCTGGTGCGGCCTCTGGGTGGGCTTAGAGTCCTGCCGGCTGGCAACCGTTCTTCAGAAGTCACTGTGAATAAAAACCCAGCTCTGCTCTCAGTCCGCTGCATCTGTTTTCAGATTAGAGGCCTTGTCTCTAGATCAAACACCTCTGGCTTCTATTCTCTGCCTCTGAACTACCAGAGTGAAAAGACAGATCTCGTCCATCCCACACAGCTGAAGTCTGGTTTCTGTTGTTTTCTGCTCTCTTAACCAAGGTTGTCTGCATCATTCATTGTTATGCTGACCTTTAGTTAATGAGTTAATGTATAGTAAATGCTAATTGTCTCACAATGTTTTCATGGGTCTTCGAGGGTCAAGTGTCTTTTCATGGACAAGTATTTCATGCTTGCAGCTACAAATTTCCATTTTAATTTAAGAGGATTAAATCTCCGGTGTTTACCCACAGTGTTGAATAGCGGAGGTGGGCCACCTCGCCAGAACTAAAGACCTCCTCATTATACATTAGAAAAGGGCAGAGGTGCTATTATTTCGAGTTATAACGAAGTAAGCTCTGCCTGAGGCTACATTGGCCACTGCTAGCATAACACACCTGAATCTCCAACCGAACTGTAGGCATTTAAGTTGCATTGTAAGTAATGTAGCACCATGTTTTATCAGGGAAGAAGGAAATGAATGAAAAAGACCATATCTCTGGTTCTGCTGTATCGATTTTGATCATATTTGTTTCCTAAGTCTAGGAGTGGAATACTAAATCGGTGCTCTTTCAATCAGTGCGTTTAGCCCGTTATCAAGATGACAAGATGTGTCAGGATCTGGGTGGCTAACTGCTTGTGATTAAACAATAACTTTAAAATCCTCATATATGCAGGAGAATCAGACCTTCTATAATTTCTGACACAGTGACTCTTAAATTGTGTTGTTGTCTACACCAGTTTCTCTCAAGGGAGGCAGCACAAACAGGATTGTAGGATTATTAGTGGATTTTTGCAAAGGGCCTCTTAAAAGGTATCACATGCCAGAGAATTTGGAGAGACTAACTTTCCAGTAAGGTTTTCTCTTTAGGAAATAATACAGTTCATTCAGGAGCGCTGGACTATCAGACTCTTTCATCACAGCCTCTGAAATCTTAAAACAACCTGCAGACAAGATGTTGAATCTGTGTGATGAGAAACAAATACGGACACTAATAACTGATGAAATCTGAGGCTTTGGTTTTATTGCATTGCATTCTCCTGAGACCAGCAGTCACACACACACACAGACACAGACACAGACACACTGCTGTTGATGCTATTCACATGACTCAACTTTAGTATAATGGGCTCTGCTGTGAAATGGATTGTAATTCAATCTTTGGGTCTCATTCACCATAATGAAGTGGATTACTGAAATACCTCACTTATGGCTCTCAAGTGCTGCAGTTTTACTGACATTTTGAAATGTTTTATGTGCAAAGTAGAAAGCAGGAAAAGCAGTTCACACCATTCTGAACAGAAATTGATAAAGTCACTTATCAAAAGTCTAGCTCCTGAACTGTTTTCCTGTGATGTTGTGAAGGGTCTTAAACAAATAATCACAGTAGTATGACTTATTTTTGTCTTCCAAGACATAGAGCCAGTTAAAGGTTAATCAATAATTCTATATCTATGTGGTCTTCAGTGCTAATAGCAACTGGCCTTTTACTCTTTTAAATGCTGAAACAATTTTTCGATGGTCATTCACTTAGTTTTAAATGTTGTTCATTTATCTTGGGACTCTTGGGTCTTTATATGAGAGTGTTATGTTATAATTACATTTTATGGTTTAGCAGAAAAAGTTCTTAACTTATTCATAAGCAGTTACATTTCCTGTTTGTCTCCAACCCTTTCTCTTCACAGATTTAAGAAAAAGGCACAACTTTCTTTCCCTGCTTCCTCCTGATCTCCCTCCAGTCAGTCCCCTTTGGTTCTCCTACTTGCCTCCAACACCCTTAGCCTGAAGGAGCTCCTGTGTTGCAGCTATGCCAAAGAACACCAAGGTGACCCAGCGGGAGCACAGCAATGAGCCGGTCACTGAGTCAGTGGCTGACCTGCTGTCCCTGGAGCACCCCATGGACTATAAGAGCAGTCAGATGAGCATGGGTCTGAGTCCTGGATCTACTGCTCCAGTAAAGGCCCTGCTGCCCTCCCCTGACCCAGACGCTGAAGACGGCCGACCGGCCTGGAACAACAAGCTAGAGTACATCCTGGCCCAGGTGGGCTTTTCTGTGGGCCTGGGTAACGTCTGGAGGTTCCCCTACCTTTGCCAGAAGAACGGTGGAGGTAGGTGGATGACATGTCTACATGATTTTATTGCATTTTAACAGTTCAGTGTCTGTCTGAATCACATAAACTTGGAAGTTTTGCATCGCCCAATGTGCAAAGCCTAGTAACACTTCCCAGGTTTGGATGTCGGATCCTGATTGGGCCACCCATGGTGAACATGTGTCCCCCTAGGCTGCTGAGTAATTGTTAACAACGAGAAATGTTGTGCTGAGTCAATGCTGCTAATGTGACTTCTTTTTATTAGTTCTGTAAAATCCTCAATGAAATAAGCTGCCAGATGGGAGTAGTTAACTTAATAGCATGTAACGATTTTGATTTTATCCTTTTGTTCGAGCATGGGATTTGCATTTTCCTGTCTGCAGTTTTGTCCAGGAGCTTCTTTGCCTGCCAACTGTTTGTTGAGACATGATTTGATTGAGAATGCCCACTGGTGTCTGTGATTTGCGTGAAATTGAATGCTGTATTGCGCTATCTCATAAAAACGTTCATTTGGATCACATTATAGACAGAAATACATCAGCGATTTCAACTAATTGAGTTCTTCTTTCCTCTAACAGATAAAGTCAATAAGTCCTGTTATGTATTTTCTGTCTGTTGTTGTACTTGACACAAACACACACACAACACTAACCCAATTACTCTTCCCAGCATGTAAACATTTTGCCCAAGGACAAACCAGTGTGTTGACAGTTTCAACCACCTAAAATGATGCACTCGTCCAAACTGCCACAACATTTTAGCACTGTACAACATTATTCTGGACCATTAACCATCTGCTTGTTTTAGACAGTCAGAAGAGTAAGTGTTGTGCTTACACACAGCAAATTGGCTTTTCTAAAATAATCCAGGATATAATAAAGATTCAAATTTTCTCTGCCTCCATCTTCATTAATTTTGATTAAAGGAATAGTTTGACTATTTTACATGTCATTTTGCATACATTTCAGGCTATACCAATTTCCTGTACACATCACGGTGCGTGCTGTACCTTTCTCACCATTCTCGTGTGTCTAATATCTCAATGTCCATTCAGTGTCCTGCTCAGTTTGCCTACTGACGGAGCTGCAGCCTCTTCCTACTTGATAAATTGCGTCCTGTCAGCCAATTAGCCAACTAATCGTGCAAGTCAGAGGGCCAGTCTCTTCAACATTTCTCAGACTTTGCGAACTTGTGCTGTCAGCAGCTACAGGATGAGATCATTTTTCCTCAGCAGGATGAGGGAACATTGGGGGTCTGGTACAACGCAGTGAGGTTTAGTCTTTATTTGCTTTTCTTGCAGGTTTCTCAGCCTTATCTCTTTGCTATTATGATTTGCTGGTATTGTGGTGAGATGAGAGGGTGTTGATGACTAAGATGGAGGAAGTGGAAGAGTAAACACTGATTTCCTGCGCTTTCAGACATTGTTGGTTCTACCTTGTGTGGGAGGTGTGTGTAAAGAGGGTATTTGAAATGCATGATATAACAAAGCTGGATCATTTTAATCAGAGTGTGTGCATGTACTTGTGTGTGTATCCCCCACTGAATTTTGACTCCGTAGGCGGTGCTGCATTGTCTCGTCCAGGCTTGTTTCAAGATGTCTCTTGTCCATCCTTGTTTAGTTTTCACCGTTTCTTGTCAAGCAAAGGTTTTTGTCTTAAATCACAAAGGCTCATCTTAAAAGGAAATGAACAACAATCTATCACAAAACAAAATAATGTTAGATAGTCCACGACAAAACAAAAAAGAGACATCTTTAGAGTAAATCTTTTGTCAGGACAAATGATAGACCCCCAACCAGCTTCTAGCTGCTTCTTTAATGTTCTTTATGAAACTATGAAGGCAAAGTGATGATAGGAGGCATAATAGGAAATTGTTCATCCTCTGGGGAGTATGATTGTGCCTGATTGTTTTTTATTTAACAATACTTGGATTAATCCAATAGTATCCATGTGTTTCTCTCAACATCAAATCTAGGACAAACTAATATACAATGATACTTGCCTCCTTGATCTCCTGTACAGTCACATAAATATCTCTTCTCTGAAATGAACAGATTGTGAGTACTACACATACATTTATACAGATTTGCTTTGTACACAGGGCTGAGCTAAACAAAATGACAAGTCAGACAATCACTCAGTCTTAAACAGTCAGTAGCTATTAGACTGCTGGTTATCATCAAGCTCATTGTTCCAATCATGAAGATCCATATCCTTAAATCTTAGGTTAACCTGAAACTTTATGGTTTTCTGGTTTTGTATTTCCATGATTGTGCCATAAATATGATAGCCTACCTTCTTCAAGAATATGTTTTCAACCAAAGAAAGATCAAGGTGTCGTTAAAATTAACAGGAATCATCCTCTACATGCTATATGCTATATGATCTGACCACTTCCTTGTTGCTGGTGGGTTAAAAAACTGGCTGAAGTGCCAAATCTGTAAGGAATAACAATAAGAGGCAGCTTACCAACCTATCTCCTCACTAACATGTTTTGCTTTTCTCTGTTCTGTGTCTCTGCTCCCCAGAATAGACATCAAAGATCAGTAAAAGTAGGCAGCAACACAGCAGTCACTTCTAACAGTCCAGATAATAATACCACTATGTAACATGACACTGTGTCCCTGTCTTTGTTTCCTTTGTCTGCTGCTAGCTCTAATGGCCAATCACGACATGATCAGTATTTTTGATCAAGTCAAACGTCATTTGTTTTTAGTCTGGAAACAGGCTGCTCCTTCCAGGCGTCCATCAGTTGGAGCCCATCCTCTCTCGCTGCGGATGGTTTTGTCACCATGGTGCCCCTTCATGTCTTGACGTAAGCAGGACTGGACGTGACTTGTTGTCTTTGAGTGCCTGATGCTTTTCTCTCTATTGTCCTTTCTGCAAAAAAGATGGACACATCTGACAAAGTGTTGAATGGAAGTTGACTGACAAAGAAAGAGAGTAAGAAGTGTGATGGAAAGAAGAAGAAAAATAGAGCCTAACAAAGAGAATTTAACAAAGTCCCTTCTGCTGTTTTATAATAAGCTTTAGTCCTTCCCTATGCATGGATTGCAAACAAAGAATAATTCAGATAACCGATGTAGCTGTACACTCAGTAATGCCACCATCCTCTATCCCTCCTCTGTCTCAGGTGCATATCTGGTTCCCTACTTTATTCTGCTCATCCTCATCGGCATCCCCTTGTTCTTCCTGGAGCTGGCGGTGGGTCAGAGGATCCGGCGTGGCAGCATCGGGGTGTGGAACTACGTCTACCCACAGCTGGGAGGCATCGGGGTCTCTAGTCTGATGGTAAGAGACAACATTAACTCACTAACCATTTAACTCTTCATACTGGTTGCACTTAACAATGAGGCATAATGGAGGGGCCGCTGGTTCTGGAACAGTTTTTCTTCATTCTTGAATGTAACTTGAATTTCTCCTACGGGGGATTAATAAAGGTACATCTTATCTTATTTTATTTCGTCCTGTTAAAAATTAAAATAGTGAATTAATCCTCAGATTATAAAATCAGTTTTCACAGAATTTTAAGCTCTGTGATTCTTGATAAAATAAATTGAGACTGTTCTATAACCAGTTCAAAACTCCTTGTAGTAGCTTTAATATTTTGGACTGACTAACGACTTATCCGAGCTTCAGAAGAGCTCCAACTGTCAGTAACATTGTACATGGGAAAAATGAACTGGACTCATCCTTTCAGAACAAGTGGTGCCGAAACTACCTCCTAACACTTCAGAACTTTAGGGTTTACAGGTTGTCACTAATGTGTTGATTGATGGCTGTAGCTATTTTGTCTACAGCCATTAATGCAACTCTGAGAGCATGCTAATATGCTCACAGTGACAATGCTAACAGGCTTATGTTTAGCAAGTAAAACCATGACCTTGTTCACCATCTCAGTGTAGTGCAATAGTATACTAACATTTATTGTTCTATTGACTATTGTTTTCACGTTTGTCTTGAAAATGAGACCTTCATCTCCATGAGACTGCCTGACTAAAATAAAGCACTAAAAACAAAGTACAGCTGAGGTTGACGGGAGTGTTATTAATTTTAGAGGTATTTGGTCACAAACAAAAGTATTTGATAAACAGAAAATCTGACTTGATTATGGAGCTAGATGAAAAGCTAAAGGATCACCACAGTCATTGTCACAATTCATCCTCAGGGGTACATGAAGGTCTGTACCAAAGCATGAAATCATGTCAATTACAATGTAATTCAGTGGTTTACGCAGTGAAGAATATGTTTGTTTTGCTGCATGAGTGGTTGGAGAAGTTTATACTTTTCCCCCAATGAAAACTTCCCATTAAAATCCATTGCAAGTGACATGATTTCAAGTTGACCACAGCAGCTCTCTCCACTCACCTGTCTCTTTAATGTCTTCAACTGATTACAATGTTTGAGTGCCTACCTTCTGCAGGAAGGCTGATTTATTAATAACCTACTAATATTTGATGCGTTATTATTAGTGGAAAAACCCATGACATTTTTTTTCCACTTTACAGCGAGCCATTGAGGCTGGTAAACAATGAATGAAGCTACAGTTACAAAAGATATACACCAACCAAAGGGGCCCTTTGTGGCCTCACAAACCGTTTTTAATGGCTTAGCACTGATTTGTTAAACATTAATAAATGATTGAATTACCACTAATAAACCTATTGGACTGTAAAATGCCATAAACAGCTTTAGAGAAATGCAATGGGTATTTGGGACCAAGATCACCAACTGTTATTGCATTGATGTAGTGTCTAAGATAGTAATTTTCCCTCTTTCACCTCTCGACTCAGAGTAAGACATGTCATGTGCAGAGACAATAGATGTGCTGTACAACTGCCTCTGCCTGCTCATATTACTTCCTCTTGAAGTTTTACAGCAAGCTGCATGCAAAGACAAGCACAGACCACTGTCATAATCTGTCCCCATCATTTGCAGGAGTAGTGACCCATCATGTCCCCATCCCATCAGCGTCATCCGCCTAAAACATAGTCAGTCAGTGGCTGAGTCAGTCAGTCAGTGATCTACTGCGTCAGTCTTTCTGATAGTGATTTCATCAATCTGGTGCAAAAGAGAGGAGGGAGATGCCTGGCCTGGGGCAGTGAGGCGTGTGGCAGCCCGGATGTGGCAGAGGGAGATTCAGCAGCTATAAATACCTTCTCATAGAGGACCCTAGACTTGGCTACTGAGAGCAAACAGCTCAATAATTCATACACACACTGACTTAAGCTGTATACTCAACGGCTGTGCCCTGACTCAAGAAGAGGCGTTCACCTCAACAAACTGCATGCTGTATGTCCCCTGTGCTGTTTGTGTTTGTACATTTGTGTGGTTTTTAGGAGTAATACGTTGTTTTGTTTTTCTCTCATGTTCCCTCAGGTTTGCGGTTTTGTTGGCCTCTATTATAATGTGATTATCGGCTGGAGCATCTTCTATTTCTTCCAGTCCTTCCAGTATCCACTGCCTTGGGCTGAATGCCCCTTCGAGAGAAATGGAACCCAAGCCAGTGAGTGCACAACACAGCTGAAACTGTAATAGAGAAGAACACCTGACAAAACAAAAGACACCACGTAGAGGAAAAATGAATACTACAGAGTCCTGCAGGACTATTCCATATTCAGTATCTCAGCAGATGCAAACACACACATGCTGCTCAGTTCTATGCAGGACGGTGCTTAAAGCTGCAGAACGTGTCTTTGCATTGAACAGCTTGCCTCGCTGCGGCTCTGCAGTCAAGCAGCAGTGTTTCTGCAGGCTAACAGAAAAGTGTTTGTGCTGTCTCTATGGCTGAGATTGCCCTGCGCTTCATCCTACAGAGCAGCTCTGTCGGCGAGGCCAGTCAGATGCTACGACCCAGCTGACAGCGTTAGTACTCCGAATGGCTGGGAAGCCGGTAGCCTGTGTTGGAGGCACTTGCAGGATCGGGCAGAGTAAAGGGCATCAGCTTTCATTAGCATTCGAGGGCAGGATGTCAACTCTGCTTATGATTGTGAATGCAGCGGGGATGCTGTGGAGCGTCCAATAGGATTTAGTTAAGCTATGTGCAGTGGTGGAATTATGCAATTAAGAAGCACTTGTAGTTGTTTTGCTCCTTGTACTATGGTACTTCCTACTCCACTACAATTATCTAACAGTTAGCGGTACTTGTTACTTTGCAGATTAAAGGTACTCTGTGGAGTTTTTGACTAATACTGCAATGGAGCAATGTTTCACTGAGTGGTTGCCCCCTTTTCCGTCTCTCGTGCATGCACATGCAGAGGCATATGCACACAGACCTGAGTGACATGCTCCATGGTCTCGTCAATGGTTTCACACTATTTCACTGACAACGGGTGGCGGTAATGCACCAATAAACACAGATATGCACCAGCAAAGGCAGGGAAGACGAATACTGCGAGTAAGCAAACATTTTTCAAAAATCTTTTAAACATTTCACATTCAAAACACTCAGAAATCTCCATATTAGCAGGTATTTTTTGTCAGTTATTGAGTCTGAAAAGTAGAACAATCTGACAATGCAGAGAGTAATAAGAGAATAATTTTCCAGAAATTAGTTTCTGTATCTTGAAATAAGAGAAAATGAGAGAGAATAATGTTCCACTTATGTTGATACATTCCAGTAGTAGATTCAAAAATATGAGTCGGTATTACAATTTAAGCACACAGCAGTGTTATTATTATTATTATAAATTATCTAAACATTGACTAGCAACATCATTAAAATACTGCTTACACACACACACACACACACACACACACACACACAAATGCACCAGTAATAATAAATCAATTTATATAATCAACATTTAAAAAGGAACCTTTCTGCATGATGTGTTACTTTTAGTACTTTTAAGTACATTTTGCTGCTCATACCTTTGTACTTTTAGTCGGGGGACATGACATTTTGGTTTTGTCACTTTTACAAGTAATTTCAAAAGTACTTCTTCCACCACTGGCTATTTTAAAATACATTTATATGACAGGTAAAATGAAATATTTAAAGTTTTCTGCAAAACAACAAATTGTATGTGTGCACACTGTAATAGCGCTGTTTATTCCATTTCTCTCTCTTTCCTCGTTGCTGTTGTAGTTGTTGTGCCGGAGTGTGAGAAGAGCTCGGCCACCACTTACTTCTGGTACCGCCAGACTCTCAACATCACCAGCTCCATCGATGACACAGGCGGCCTGAACTGGAAGATGACCCTGTGCCTGCTGGTAGCTTGGATCCTGGTCTGCCTGGCTGTCATTAAGGGCATCCAGTCCTCTGGGAAGGTATGGGGTCTCCATGGCTTCACAGCAGGGGCCAATCCTGCAAACTATAGAGATTACCAAACCATAGACTGGATAAAGAGGCACACAATAAATAATTCTAACAAAAGCTCAGAAGCTTTTCAATTCTATTTTTAATCGATGATTCATCCATATCAGTTTTATTCACTTTGCTAATGCTTTTCAGTCAAAGGTAAAATGCTCAAGCCTGTCATCAGCATTAGTCTATTTTTGGATCTCATCTATATTATGGAAGAGAGACACATGCAACATTAATAAGCTTAAACTGAACCAAGCAAAGACTGGTTCAGGATGCAGATGGAAAATGCTCCTTTTGGCAACAACTGGAACAACATCCTGTAATCTTGATCCAGGGAGTGAGTCATATACCACAGCGCAACATCCAGCCCACATTTTCAATAGGAAAATACACGGATCGCCAAGGTTTGACACGGTTTTTTGAACACCAAACTTAGTAATCCAATTATCATAGTCAGTACTGCAATGCTTCCCCGAAATGCTGTAGGAAGGATTTTTGACTCATCTCTCAAAACCTCAAGGAGTCCACTCCACATTTGGTAAGATTTCACAGATTCAGTGCCAAGCAAACACAAAGCAGTTTTGAGATTGATTCATCGTGAGTGTGTGTGTGTGCGTGTGTGTGTGCATGGTTGCAGTCTGGTCCTCATCCATGTGAGAGGCCTCAGAAAAGCGTGACCATGGCAACACTGTATAATGTAATCTCTCTCTCTCTTAGGTGATGTACTTCAGCTCTCTCTTCCCATATGTGGTGCTTTTCTGTTTCCTGGTGCGAGGTTTGCTGCTGAAGGGAGCAGTGGACGGCATCGCCCACATGTTCACCCCTAAGGTGAGAGAAAATCGGCAGGTTTGGGCCAAAAAAGAAGCAATTCTCAAAACAGGATTGCCTCAGCAGGATTGCAGTCTGTAGTGATTTGCTGTGGTCCTATAAAATGTATTATTGGTGTGCTGGAGGGGAAAATTTGTGTTTAAGCTTGCTGCTGTTTTGGTCTGCATTCATTCATGGACTGTTCACTGCTAAACAGATGTGTAAGAAAAATGACAGTTTGTCTATGCAAGCTGTTCAGCTGCTTTACCACCAAGGCCATTCAGATCCACTCATATGAAAATGCCATCAATGTCCTCATGGTGTCATGTGTTGGGTTGATGTCTCCCTCTAGTGGTGAATACGTATAACTACATACACAAATTGACACTGAATAGCATCATTACTTACTCTGACAAAATGAAATTAACTTTTTTATTTGCTCTATAATATAATAATATGTAATGTGAATTATTTTGTAGTCTGCTGATGTCAAATGTCAAAGGAGGCCTCAAGTCATCATCAGTTTTCTAATGAAGTTGAAAGTTCACTTCACAGTATAAGATATATTGCAAAATAAATAAATGCATGGATCTCTTTGTTTTGCATTATGAAAGCTTAAAAGATATATTATTTGTAGTAGTCACACTTTTACATAATATTTCCTTTTCCAGTTTCAGTTCACAAGGCTCACATCTGGGTCTGTTATAATGAACTCATGTTGCTTGGCCAACTATTGTTCAAACCCACAGAACTTTATTTATTTTTTTATTTATTAAAGTTATTTTTTTGACCTTTTATTGCATGGTTGCGGCTGGGGGTGGGGGGTGGTGGAGGGAGGGGGGATGAAACGCAGCAGAGGGCTGCAGGTTGGATTCGAGCCCTGGGCTGCTACCGCAAGGACTCAGCCTTGGTACATGGGCCGCCAGCTCTACCCACTGAGCTAACTGGGCGCTCCACAGAGCTTTATTTTTAATTCTGTTCCCAAACCCAATGCTTCCAAAGATACCGAATGTGCTGAATTTCAGGGGGACATATAGAATAATGCACAAAACATGGTGTCATCAGTTTGCTAGAGAATATATATGAAATGTGACGGGAGAGTATCAATGTTCAACAGGGTTTAAAGAGCATAAATGACGATAAATATGACCGTATCTGTGACTAATCTCTGTGACATTTCCCTTTCTGCTCTCCAGCTGGAAAAGATGTTGGAGCCACAGGTTTGGAGAGAAGCAGCCACGCAGGTCTTCTTCGCCCTCGGTCTGGGCTTCGGAGGCGTCATCGCTTTCTCCAGCTACAATAAGCGAGACAACAACTGCCACTTTGATGCAGCGCTGGTCTCCATCATCAACTTTGTTACCTCCATCCTGGCCACTTTAGTTGTGTTTGCTGTCCTGGGGTTCAAGGCGAACGTCATGAACGAGAAGTGTGTTGTCGAGTGAGTACGTCATACTGTAACAAACCTGACCGGTCTCCCCTTGCCAGCTGTCACTCACTAACACATCCCTTTTCTCTGCATCTCTAATTTCCTGTGTGCAGCAATGCAGAGAAGATCCTGGGCTTTCTAAACACAGGTGTGCTGAGCAAAGAGCTCATCCCTCCTCACATCAACTTCTCCCACCTGTCTTCAGAGGACTACGCAGAAATGTACGCTGTCATTAAGACAGTGAAGGAGGACAGCTTTGGCCAGATGGGCCTGGACGCCTGTTTGCTGGAGGACGAACTCAACAAGGTCAGAATGGGAGAGTCCACGAGCTGAAATGAGAACGAAATGATCGTTGACGATTTCTGAATAATCATGTAGTTTATGTTTAAGAGATTATTACACAACAAGATGCCTTAAGACATAAAAAGTAAGAGAGGAAAGGTTAGGTTTAAAATACCATCATGCGAAGCAAAGTAGTGTTTAATCAATCAATCAGTTTGACAATTGATTCATTGTTTCAGTCATTTTTCAAGTGTCTCAAATGCAAAAATTTGATGTTTTTCATTTTCATATATTATATTAAATGAAATTTCTTACAAAACTAGCAACAATCACTTTGGACTTGTACTTGAAATTATAATGACCATGATTAAATTTAAAAATTGTATTTTATATATTCAACGATTAATTGATTAGAAAAATAATTGGCAGACAAATCTTTAATGAAAATAATTTTCCCTTACAGCCCCAGTTCCTGTTTTTTTCTATTGAAGGACATCTCTTAGTGTATTATTGTACCTATTGAGTGACCACTTACCACAGAATACATAAAAAACAATATTTTGAGTATTTTTTACTGTGTCAGAAGCATAAAGACAATGTACTGTTGTTGTGGTTAGCTGCAGTTCCTTCAACACTGATTTTGAATCATGTTAAATAAGTTTGAGGTGTCCTGTCATCTAACTGGGAATTAGCATTTTCCATGGCCATAGTTTAAAGCCTTAAATTGCTTCGCTGTAAGTTTGCTCGTCACTGTCAAGGCTCAACAGGTAATTGCTTATAAGAGCTTTATCAGTGAGTAGGAAAATAAAACTACTTTGCAGGTGATGAAGTTGAGCTATACCCACAATGCATAGTTTCCTCTTTCATAACAGTGATACTGTTTGTCACAGGTGGGAAGTAACGCAGTACTAAATAGTAAATACTTTGTTACTGTACTTAAGTAGTTTATTATGTATCCTTACTTTACTTAGTTATGTATTTATTTTTCTGTACTTTCTACGTTTTCAAAACAGGCTCATTACTTTAGTTTGAATGTATTTGAGGGGAATTATAACCAATACTACTACTACTACTATTATTATTATTATTATGGTTCTTGTTGTTGTTGTTGTATGTCACGCATGACAGACATAACATGATGAAAATTATGTAAAAGACTAAACATACGAGGGAGATCAACCCTATTTGAAGTTTCAATTAGCTTTGAACAGAAACAGCTGTTAAAAATGTGTCCTTTACTTAAGCATACTTTTTACTTTTATACTTTGAGCCTTAAATGGCTGCACTAGAGTTAATGTACAAAAAAATGGAATTAAGAGAAGGATTTTCCACATAGGATCACTCACTTCCTTTAACCACTGTAACCCGTCTTCTGTCTGTCCTACAGGCGGTTCAGGGCACTGGCCTGGCGTTCATCGCCTTCACAGAGGCCATGACACATTTTCCTGCCAGTCCCTTCTGGTCTGTCATGTTCTTCTTCATGCTGATTAACTTGGGTCTGGGAAGCATGATCGGCACAATGACCGGCATCACCACACCCATACTGGATGCTTTCAAGATCCGCAAAGAGATCCTGTGTGGTGAGCTGTCTCAACTCTAACTCAAATCTCTTGTATGCAAATGAGATATTTGTGATTCTTAATGGATGTTTCTTCTTCTCTTTGTCAGTGGCCTGCTGTATCATAGCCTTCCTGTTAGGCCTGTTGTTTGTGCAGCGTTCAGGCAACTACTTTGTTGCCATGTTTGACGACTACTCAGCTGGTTTGCCTCTCACTGTGGTTGTGATCCTGGAGAACATCTCTGTAGCCTGGATCTATGGCACTAAGAGGTAACTCAACTGAATATGTATGAAGTCATTTTTGGATTTTAGTCATTTTCAGGTGGCATGTTTAGTGCCTCTAGACATTTCCGGTGTCTGATGAGTTTGGGAAAAGAACTGCAGTATGTGACTAGCCATATACTGCTGTATACTTCATTTCAAATTCACAAAAAAATCTAAACAATTTTAGCCATACTAGTGGTATGGCTCGAAGGGATAGTAATACAGGTCGGTCAGACGTTCATGATTCCCATCAGCCTCAGTCTTTGTGTTTAGTGCTATTAGCAAATGTTGACATTTTTCTGCAATACAGAGCAGCTTACACGGCAAACTAAAATGGTGAACAGAGTAAACATTTCCTGCTAAATATAAAAATGAATATAACTTTGTCATTGTGTGCACTGTGACATTACCATTTAGCTCAAAGCAACGCTGTGTCTAAATGTAGCCTCACAGAGCTATTAGCATGACTGTAGAAGCTTTGTCTGTATCTAAAATGGCAAGATATTTATTGTTGTCACTTTATTTGAGCATCCAAATTCTGAGTGCAATTATCAACGCAATGCTTCAGATTTTATAGATAAACCTGTCAGTAATGATGCATAATGATTAATAAATGTCCAAAATCTCAATATACTTCTCACTATAGTGTCTGCATGGACACATGAAGGGAAGTAGGGGTGCTGAGGAGGCTGCAATAAAAACCATTAGTTCAACTTTTGATTTTCTCCTTTCTTACTGTGATTTATATGCAAAGTGCAGGAGTATTTGTAGTGGGGAAGAGGTTTAACATCCAACCATTGCAGTCCATCTAAGGTGTCCAATTCCAGGACTCTGGTATTGTGAATGTTTGCTCATTGGCACGGCCAATTGGGCTTAGACCGTAAATAATAATTCCTTCCCACTCTTTATTTCCTTTCCTCACAGGTTCATGCAGGACCTGGAGGACATGCTTGGTTTCAGGCCATACTCCTTCTACTACTACATGTGGAGGTACGTGTCGCCAGCTATCCTGGTGGTGCTCATTGCCGCCACAGTCATTGAGATGGCCATCAGTCCAGCAGGATACAACGCCTGGGTGGAGGCTGAGGTTAGTGTTCAGTTTCTCTTGTGTTTGTGTGTTTACTGAAATAACAAAATACAGAGAGTGGGAAAGTAGATAAACAAAGAGGCAAAGTAGATGATTACTCTATAAATGCCCTTCTTCTCTTTCCTCTCTTTTTTAACTTTTTTCCCTTTCCTCTTCCCTTTTTCTTTGCCAGGGCGCAGAGAGTTTTCATAGCTACCCTCCCTGGGCTTTAGCCATGGCCTACTCCCTCATCGTGGTGGCCATGCTGCCTTTACCCATCGTCTACATCGTCCGCCACTTCAACCTGATCTCAGACGGCTCCAACAAGCTGTCAGTCTCCTACCGTAAAGGCATGATGAAGGACATCTCCAACCTCGAAGAGCAGGACGAGCAGCGCTTCATCCTCAGCAAGAACCCCAGCGAGGCTCCTTCACCGATGCCCGCCCACCGTGCTTACTTAGGCCCCGGCGGCACACAGGAGATGACCAACACCAACTATGGCACCAGCACCAAGACGGGCTACCAGAACATCGGCTCGCCTGAGTCTGAGCTATGATCCACTGAGCTCATCGATCCTCTCGTCCACTAAACCCCGGGCCCTGCTTGGAGAGAGGGAGACAGAGGAAGAAAGGGAGGAACAGAGGAAATCAAGAGGGAGAGAAAATCCACTGGTCATTGTTGCAGCGTTCATCCCACCTTAACCCCCAGAACTGAATCCCTCTATCCCTCCCTTTTCTGCTCCATCGCTCCTTGCCTGTGGTTCTTCCCTTCTTCCCCGCCGTAGGATCTGTGCCGATAACTGCCTGTCAATCTCAGCTGTAATGAGGGGATCATGAAAGTGTGAGTCCCACCAGATATGACGACCTTTTCCCATCTGTCAAGGTATTACAGGGGCAGAGATTGAGGGACAGAGAGAGGAACAGAGGAAGGAATGAGGCTTTGAAAGGCTCACTGAGGGCTCAGATACAGGCTTTGTTTTGTAATAAGTTCTGGCCAAGGTTACGGAGTGTGCAATGCTAAAATGCTTTAGGTTGTACTGAACCATAATCCCATGTGATCACCAGTTTGGAGAAGGTTATTTTTGAGACAGCTGGATGTTCCTAGATCTGGGCAATCCTCATCTTTTTCTGGTTCAGCTGTAGAGGATTGTTATTTGTGGGGATAGGATGGAAGGAGACACAGAAAAAAACCTGTGTATCACCGTATGAGAACACTCCTCATCTAGAAAACAATATTGCGTCCATAACAGTATGTAATGTGTGATTCTGATAGTGTGAACAGTGTTACAAGCACATTACATCTTTAAGTTTATTGTGCCTATCATGCATCAGCAATAATAACTAGTCAAAGTAGGGTCGTTATAAAACTGTGGATCTCCTTCTATCCCTACTTCCCCACTGATGTAGAATACTGTACATATGTGTTGTGCAATAGTCCAAGATGTCACAGTAAATCGTGTATATACAGCACAGTCGTGTGAGGGGAAAAGCTTCACCTCTTCATTCTTTCCCAGCGAACACCGAAGCACAGACATCCACTATCATTAGAGCATCTCTGAGCCTTAAAACAGAGCAGCACTTTTCTTTTAAACAGCCCCTCTCTCTTCGACAAACAAGGCTCTGGAGTTGTTGCCAACAAACGCTGCACACGTCATCTCTGTGCTGTTCCAGTCGCAGCTGGCCTAGACAAAGCTGTTCTATTTTAATCAATCATTTAAATCAAGCGTTTCCATTTTAATCAATGCCGTAGAAGGGCAGAGGTGGCGGTGCACGAGCTGAGATAAGCAGAGTGGCTTGTGTTTTATGAGCTTCACGCTGTCTGTGTTCGAGAGGCAGGAAGGAATTGGAAACGTGAGTTTTGTCTGTGTGTACGTGCAGATGTGCACGCACGTGAGTGTGTTGTCTGCCACTGAATGAGAGCTCCCGATGACCCTGCCTCTTTAAAAATAGAGCAGCGTTACCCAGGGGAAGCCGTGGCAACGCACCATAGATACAGATCCTCTTCTGATGTGGAGGAGGAAGAGGAGAGAGGACACCTTGCTTTGTCTGCTCCACCTGCACAGCTGTTTGTTCAGTAATACAGAGATTAGCCATTTTACTGTCCTACAAGAATATATCTCTACTCTTGTTACAGTGCGTTGAGTAAGAGGTTCACTGCCATGCCGTGCTGTGGATTTATCATACTTCATCCCTAAGAGGATGATGTTTGGGTTTAATTGTACATTCCTCAAATTGTGACCACTACGGGCATCATTTCATGATCACTACAATCTACACTTTGATGTCTTTTTGTGAACTGAAGCGTAAAAACTAAAGCCTTTTTTAATTTTTAAAGTATAATATTGTATGACAATGTATGTTTTAGGAGTATAATGTGGAAAATGTACTGTGATATAAATGTTTGGAATAAGTGGTAATACACAGATTTCCCCACTGGGTGTCTCTGCTGGCCAGTGGAGAAGCCAATAACACGCTCTCTCAGTCTGGTGGCCCCTCCCTGAGACAACACCAATACTTGAGACTGAACAGATGTAGTGTGAAGCACAGTCAGGCACATTGTTTGGTGCCTGAACAGCATCTCTGTTGTCTGTTTACCTTATGCTTTTGTCATTTTGTTTTGTTGATTTTATAGTGTGTTTGTGTAGAGTTTGGACCAATGTCTTGTCTCATTCACTTGAGCACTTTAATTAGGTGAAGACCCTGGAGTTGATTTGACAAAAGCTTTGTGGAGTTTAAACATTAATCACAAGAATGCTGTCACAGAATATGTTTAGGTAGCAATATTTAGAGACAGACAGAGAGGGGGGGCAAGGCTGTGGGGCTATTTTCACCACAAAATTTGAGCATTTTGACAAGTTATAATGCGGCATCTTATGTTCAAAGCGTGTTTATATGTTCAATGTTGTCCTATTATCATGACAGTGTTTGATGCTTCCGTGCCATTGGCTGGCACTGCTAGGTCCTCCCTATTTTACGTGATGTAAGTGCTGACCCATTGTTGTGGTCATGTGGCCTCTAACATGGCTCTTGCATCTGCTCAGGTTTCAGGCTACAGTACCTAGTACTTAGTAGTGCCTACAGTAGCTGTGATGTGTTGTGTGGCATATACGCATAAACATACATATATATATATATTATATATACTGATTTACTTAAGTGGTGAATGGTATCATTCCATACCATAAAAACCCTTTGTACCATCTATTTTTTATCTGTCTTTCATAGATTTGTATGTTATTTAACATTCTGTTATCACATATGTTGTAAAACAAAACAATAGAATAACGAAGGGATTTGTCTCTCCCTAAATCACAGGAAAAGTAGTTGGTCTCCATCTTAAATGCATTAAGATGATACAAACACACTTTTAATGTCTTTAGATGCCATATTATAACCTATTCAGCTACTACAATTTATAATGAAAAAAACCTACAGAACTACTGAGCACAGGAAACCAGATGTTTTCTGCTGATAGGACTGCAACATGCACATAACCTCAGGTGAAGGCACTCAACGGTTCTCACCTGTAGCTTTGGCTTAGAGTTAAAGCACATTTAGGAAAGCACAGGAAAGTGAGCACAAAAGAGTTTCATGTCTCAGTGAGCAAAGAATTTCACCAGTCAATGAGTCTGTGTGGGTAAACCGGATGAAGAAACCTAGATTATGTCAGTCACAGTCTGATTCCTGCATCCTCCAGAGAGTTGCTGGAGGATAAGGCTGCACTATAAAATGCACTCCCAAGAAGCTAAACTGCACCATTAGTTTGTTCTTCACCTGCACTGTAGCTACAGGTTGAGCTGCACAATAAATGTAAAGATAACTGTCAGAGGTGACCAACATTGATGTGTAGCATCCTGCACACAGAAAGCACAATCAAAACATATGAGTTTATAGAAAACTTTGGAAATGGCAAGCTCATGTTTAAACCCACTGGCTTATTTCAAACCTGATGCCCAGTTTGCCACATTTCGCCAATGAGCGAAACACACACAGCAGGTCTTGCCTCTAACATTTAAAAACACTTCCGCACACTGTTGAAAAATGTCTTTTCACATTGGTTCAAACTTGCTCAGTAATAAGTATTCATATTTGATATTTATTATTGAAAACAAAGACTCCGACTCCAGGGTCTCTTTGTGTTGTCCATGTGTCAGCTGTGTTGCATTATGTACTACCAAGCAACTTCTAGAGGTTAACTCAGTTAAATTACTGAGATTAACTCAACAAAAGTAGAGTAATAGTGTATTTATTTAACTGTGCAAATAGTCTCTATGTGACCAAACCCATAGTTATATTTATAGTATTTAAGACAATGTATTTAAGCTGTACATATTGATGTACATTCTGATAAAATCACACTGAGTATCTATAGTAAGAGTGACAGAGTGTATACTTGAGCTGTAAATAATAATTGTATATTTTGAGATATTTTTTGATTTTTGTACTGTAGGTTACTTTGGTGTCTGTCGGTTTTTGTTAGTGTGGTTGTTCTCAGTCAAAACAGCTGAGCGACTGTGGCTGTGTGTGTATGTGAGTGAGTTTGTGTATGTGTGGGTGTGTGTGTAAAGTAAAAGTATATGTAGGTTTTTGGTGTTTAAATGTGTGTTTTCTTCTCCTCTCTCAGTGTTGTGTGCTGCTGATCTAATCCAGTAGATTAAACTCTGTTGTTACAGTGAACTGGGACCACTAATGTAAGCAATCTCTTCTCTGTTTCTCACTGGAACTGCAAGTGGCTTCCAGCACAAAACTGGCAACATAATCAAAAGGAAATGTTTGACTGTAACAATGAGCATAAACTTAAGTTGTTTTTTTTGGTTGTAGAGAGCAATGAACTGTACAAACTTGATGGAGCGAACAGGAAATTAAAATAACCACTTTTATTAAACAGACCATGTTGTGTGTCTAATTTATTCTGATTAACGTTTAAAGCAAAGACATTTAGTTGTTTTTACAGGACAAATTCTTGCTTTTATTGACATGACTTTACTGATAGTTTATGAATGAAAGATTTCAGTCACAAGAAATACCCTGAGCAACATCAACAGGGTAACTGCGTTGTTGCATGATGTGTGAAGAAAAAAGAAATGTTTGTAAGATCCTAATATTGTGAGGCTGTTTGGTCTGGCAATGGCAGAAGCAGGAGGTAATATAATATCTGACCATGACGTAAAATTAAATATTTCTGAACACATAATCTCTTCTGATGGGATATTGATTTATGATTAATCCAATCCTCAGTGTGGAATAATTGGAAACATAAAAAAAACGATTTGTTGTAATCATAAAATTCCTGAATTTGGTATAGTTATTACAATGACTGACTGTATGTGTTTCATCCCTACCAGTGGACGATCACTCAAAGTAAAGAAGATGAATGTGACAATATTATTGTGTGATAAAGACACATACAGATGAATGATGCCCGGAACACATATTTAATACCATTTGTGTGTAAAGTGTTGGTGCTTGAATAAACAGTGAAGGAAGACGTGTTTTTCTTTTACATATATGATACTAGCAATACCACAATTTAAAACACTGTTACAAGTTCTGCATTCAGCAATTGTACTAAAGTTAAAGTATACAAGGATTAGCAATAAAATATGTAAATATCAGCTCTCACTTTGAAGAAAGGTGCCTGTCATTATGTTGTGAAATTAGAAATGTAATCGTTTCAGATCCTCCTCTGCAGGTTGAGTGAATCTTTAATAAATGTCATCAAGCTAGATTATAACAGGGCTCATTTAGTTTTATTTAGGAGATGCGACAGGGATTTTATCATCTCATGAGGAATGTAAAAATCAAATCTTTAACCACGGTTATAAAATGATTTAGTTCTTATCTGTTTATGAGCCCACTCTTAATGTTATAGTCATAATCAATTGCCATATCGGTATTCAATAACCAATGAAGAGTGCACATTTAGTACCCACAACTCTCTGGAGTACATTACTCATGTGGCTTCTTTTTCAGATCTTCCCACAACTAGATTGACTAAATTGCCTGTCTCACGTCCCGCTGTGACAGACAGTTGGTCAGAAATGTACGCAGCAATTTGTTCTGGTAGCCCACTGTGGTTTGCACAATGTGCAGTTTAACCCAAATCTCTGTGACCTAAACTGCAGCATGTGCAGAACTGTGCTGCTGCTCAGCCAGCTCTAATATGGCAGCACTGACACAAATTGGGCCTTTTGCCAGAGTAAAGGCTCATACATCTATGGCAACTTATTGCACTGTGTACTTATTATGGCCTGTCGACAGGGACACATCATCTGCCCTTTTGAGCTGCGAGGTCCATCACCTGCTGGTTCACAGTGGCTCATACAATTGCAGTCAGATGGTATAGGTTTACACCAGCGTCACACAAGAGACAGAACATCAGTGGTCAGTTGTGTTAACACATTATTGTTCCTGTTTCTAAACACTTGGCTCCTGTTGTTTTCATGTAATTGAGCTTGAAAAATGACCGAGATGAGTATTTCAGTCTAATTGTTAGAGCCTGACCCATATGGGTTTTT